ATATATATATATATATATATATATATATATAAGCAAAGCAGTGTTTGCAAATCACTTCATTTACGTGAGATTGCTAAGAACCAGTAACGCATACTTACACTCAAAATAAGCGGCGTCTAACAGGGAGCATGCCATAAAAGGATCATGGCAAGAATAACATGATGGCTGAGTAGTCGAGATTATTGAGAAATAAGTGACCGACAATGGAACTAATACAAGCAGAGGTCGTGAACAAAGGTTTTGTTTGCAAAAGTCACTCATTTAATGACGCGACCGGGAATTTTGCAATCACGGTAATGGTATGGCTGATAATTAAATAGTCTTAGAGCAAATGTAAGTAAGTAAGTACAAATGTTGGAAAAGCAACTAGAAGTTTTTTGTGTACAGACTCGTTCCAAATACGAGATCTGTCAGCACTGGCTTCAGATAGCTCTTACTTAACATGGCGCTTAGCGACCTAGTGCCCTAAGATGTGGGTCTCAGAAATTTTGGTGTGCGTATATCACTCGCCCATTTGCTAGTGCCGAATCTCAATAAATAATAGCTAATGCATACAATATTATTTTGGCTAGCAAGACTCGAACCCTCCACTAGTGTGCAAGTGGATAATTAGGTCCACCCAGTTCTGATCCAGCGCTTAGCTTCCGCAATATAAGCATGTAGACGAATATTTAAACTATGACGACTCGTTAAGAGGTGTAGAGTAGGAGTTTGACAGGTGATGAAATAATTCGGTCAAATGAAGAGTGAGAACAAGTTTACATGGAACCCTCTTCAGGCAGTCAATTTAGCAATGACAAAATTGATGTTAAAAAACGTGCGTGATGCGTATAGACACAGATTAAGTTCCGTCAGTCGCTGCACCTATGCCTATCACCAGTCATTTTGATCACATCTTATTATAAGGACATGACAATGTTGGGTTAGCCAATGAGGTGAATGTAGCGAAAACCTGCTTCACGATAAACAAATTCACGGGGTTGTCACCACTACGCTCCCTATCAACAAATAACTGTATTTAGCGAATGTGACAGATGGATGGACACTATCAACGCTTAGCTGATTAACTCCGAGTTTGTCTCGAATAGTTATATGCATAGACGAATGGGATTTGATCAATCTCAATAGAGTAGCCACGTAATAGTTGCAAACTGGCGGTGGCCAGCCAGTACTACGTTAATATATAAGCAAACTTGGCAAAAAGACTACAAGCACAGGTGCAATCTAAAAGCCCAGACATAATGACATAGTTCGGATACAGAAAACTGTCCCAGCTGAACAGATTTCGAGAGTGAAAGAGGGAGGTAAAAAGCATGAAAAACTGCTAATGTTTTTTTTCGTGCCTGCAAATAACCAGATGCTTCAAAGTGCGATAGTTTACTTCAGCAGAACGATGATCCGTCCTAAACTACTTTAAAGGGTACTGCACAGGTGTGAAGTTTAAGGCCCCAAAGAGGTAGCAAATACTGTTACAGAAACGTTCTATTTAACGCGGATGCCCAACAACAAGTAAGTAAAGCGGGCTGAAAAATTCGCTTTAGTTACAGCTCATGACGGGAGAGTAATGTACGGCTCAAGGGTAACAAATCACATAACTGCGTATCAGTTAGGTTACAGCCAAGCCATAGGAAGGTATAAGCAAACTAGATTCACGTCCAAACACAAAAATGATAAATTCAAAGTTGTGACGAACCTTTAAGTTAGGATTGAGACGAAGGCGCATCTCTGTATCTAACATGGCGTTCAGAATTTGTTCTGAAAGATGGAACGCCTTCATTCCAAGCTGACCACGGGTGGCACATGATGGATCATATGTGAGGAGAACCGCCTCAGATATCTGCATCTGATACTGAAAGAGGGATTCCAACGTTGACCGACTCAGGAAGGAGCTCCCATAACCACTTTGATAGAAACCGACAGACAAGTAGTCAGAGTTGAGCTGGAAAAATAGATCATAACTAAGTTCGAACCTGTCGCATGTTTCTAATCATATCGAATTCATAAGCGCTAACCGCCTCCCCACTGCTCTGATCATCATCAGTGAGTTTTGGAAGAGGAAAACAATTCGTAATTTCAAGCGTATCGCCAACAGTAAGACCTAGCAATACTCCAGAAACCGAATCAGAGGAAAGTAGGGTTTCCTCCTGACTATGTGTAATAATCTTAGTCAACACCAGGCCATCAACCTGCACCCGTTTTATCCGTTGCGTGTCCATTTCCAAAATGACTATCTAAGTGCACACCACGCTGTCAAAAGTGAGCCAATTATCAGTCGACAAAAGTGATCAGCTCAAAAAGTGTGCGGAAATCCAACCGGGTAGGATTATTCTCAGGTGCTGCAGACTCATGAGTCTGAATCTGCAGGTTTATTAAAAAAAATTCATAGATTTTTACGAAAGTTCCCGCCTTTGGAAAAAATACGTTAATATTGAACCTTAACTAAAACCGAGTGTTCCAGTTAGCTATCGGAGGCTGTTTGTAACTGGACAGTGGTCGAACGACAGCAATGCAACTACCTACGGCACCTCCCACGGAAGCACCATACTCAGGGCTGTAGGTGCATTAACCACTTGTTTTTTTCAGAACACGACCCCTTATGGATATTTAGAAAGAATATATTCATAAAGGGAACTGTAATAGATCATAGTGTAATGGTAAACAAGATCAATATCAAGATTAAAATCCATAAATGAACGTTGCGCGTAAGTCTGCCGGTAAGATATGAATAGAGAGTGAGTGAAATTGCCTTTTGGCGATTGAATTCCAACCAAGTTCGACATAAAACTAACTCCTCCATGATGTTACCTGACAGGAAATATAAACTGTCGGAATTCTTAGGCATGCCAACAAAAGGTAATATGAGTGACAATAAAACTGTTTACTGTATACGCCCATGGATTCACGAATGGATATTACTGAATTGTGTGGTATTGCAAAGGACCTTTGAGACAGTGGGGAGGGAATTTTAATCCTACGGTCAAAATAACGAACTCTAGGCGATCAAGAATGTAGGACGAAAAGACACCGACCGACTGCCCCCTACAGAAACCTCTGCGGTCGTCTACAAGATACTTTGCA